AGAGTGTACTATTTAATGATTGCTTCCTCCAATATATAGGTTCTCGGATGAAAGTCTTTTGTGAAGTATGAAATTTTTTTGACAATGATGCAGTTCGAATTATTGAAAAGGAGAGTGGACCCTACCGGAAGTTAGTTTCAGAGACTTAGATGAAGTCTGGAGTTTTATTTGTAGTTCGCTAGCTTTCTAGTTTTGACCAGAGATCCGGTGAGGGGTGCGGGGCCACCTAATCTAAATCCCTATGACGAGGGTTCCACTCTTTGTTGCATATGAAGAGTTAACTCTTTGGTGTGAAGAGGTATATTGGAACTCGAGTTATGACTTTAGATAAGAAAATGTGCAATTGTGACTCTTTTCGCCTGAGTAGCCTCCCCAAGCACTATACAACACTCTGGGGCTCGCTGTCTTGTTAGTAAGAAGGTATCACTAGTTAGATATTAAATAACTCCTCGGGTGCTTCAACATCTGTTAGAAGGGGTGGAGGAATATATGCGTAGCGGCATAAATGTTTTTCTCCTATATATGTTGAGAGAAATTATGCAATCTAGTTAAATATGTTTGCCTTGATATATCTCCCTAACTAGAGATATAGAACCCTCAATTCATATCAGATTTAATTAAACACGCCGTGCCCCCATAATCTTGAAGTAAGTGGCGCCGAATACCCACGTTGAAGCAGGGTAGTTATGCCGGGATCTATGCGGGTGCACTCTATGATTTATTATGGCCAAAAACCCCAAGTATATTGTAAATCACGGACGCGTCTGCACGTAGCCCAAATATCTCTTAGTGACTTCTAGACTTGCTACATAAGATTGGCGACACAGTCTAAGACCCGTAAGACCCGACACATGGGTGCTCCATATAGCGCGCTAGAAGCCCAGGTATGTAATTTGCTTGATCCATATGTAAACCCACAAAGCGGCTATCTTCGTGTGAGAGTTATTAGTAGAGTATTAAATGGCGGCGAGTTAATAAAATTTATATATGGACTCTAAGGTATTCGAAATGCACAACCCCTCCAGATATCAATGTTGTCAAATAAAAATAATGAGTAAAGCAGACTTTTGTTGAGGTTTATGTTGTTACCGAATACTGTACAAGAGGTTCCTTCACAAAGGCGAGACTCAATAGTTATTTTTATATTATATTATGTTATTTTATTAATTGTAAGGTTGTCATATCTGTTGTAAATTTAGTGGATGTTTTTTCTCTCGGTATAAAATTTTCATAATAAAGATGAGTAGTAAGTTCCACAAAAGGCATAGCAAGACTTAACTGGTATCGCGATAGTATAGTGTTAGGAGAAATGGAGCGAAAGAAATGATGTTACACCACATATTAACTAATTTATTATCTCCATCTAAGGTTGTACTAACTATTCTGTGAGGGTTATATGTCTCACACTCAGAATGTGAAACACTATACTAAATGGTATTTACTTTTACCATCGTCCTCTCAGACGAAAGAACAATACCCTCTACCATTCTATAGCTTAGCAGGTATCATCATAGATAGGGGTGTGCACAATTGATTTTGATGTAATTTTGAGGTAGCAAATGAGTGAAGAATGTATTAACCAACGTTCCATCGAGAATTTATATTTTCTCATCTCTTTTAATTTTCGTGGCCACTCCCTAAGCACACAAACATTATAGATAAACCTTGTGTCTTACCGACTCTTCGCCAACCATTCTTGCCCAAGGAATCGAACTCAAGCGCATTCATGCCTCGATAACAGTGATTGAGAGAGGAAAAACAATATTCGTATGGTATTGCTCCGCTAAGCCGTATGAGCTAGACCAAGAGCCTAGAGAATAATTGGCACTTATATAATAGGCTTCTCAAGATATTCCCACGCATCTGTACCTTTTTTGAATAGTGTCAGGGATGATCAAAATGAGAATGAAAAATCTCAATATCACAATACTGTATTGCGACACAGAATGGCTTTTTGCTAAAGACAAAGTCTTTGAGTTGTCGAATTAAACAGACCAATTATTTTATAAGTTCGAGGATTAGAACCTTTCCATAATATCGACTATTGCAAAAATTATTATTATAGAAGATAATTTTACTATTTAGTGACGATCATCTGAATTTTGGGTGAGTCTATTTTCTTCTTGCGATTTGAGGCCTGAAATATTTAAGCGACTCGGGGCTCAAAATTTACGGGGCGAGGTAATTCCGACGAATTACCTTCTTTTTGTTGAAATCTCTAATACAAAAACTTTATTACACAAGCTTGCAAGAATGATGAATAGATTATTGGATGATGCGACCAATTAAACTAGAAACCCATTGTCAGGACACTCAAAGGTGAGCAGAAACCGGAGATATATGCTATACAGACCTATCACTCGTACTTTCTCTCTGTGGGGATTTGTGATTGGTACGGTGTGAGGTTATTTTAGTGACTGTAAGGCTATCTCAGATTTTTTGAAAACCTTTTCTACCATTAATGGTTTCGGATAAACCAGTGCATTTTTGATTTTCTGAGGCTTCTCTTATGTTGATGCTATAATACCTGAAAATTTCTATTTCGTTTGCTAGATTAGAGAGAAAAAGTTGGCTTTCATAAAGAGTATAGGAATCACAGTGAGAGATTAACCTTCATTTTCTTTATTTATGTGTGAGGAAAACGTATTAGATGGAAGACGCAAAACCACAACACTGATCGTCGCAAAGAGGCTGCAGATGAACTGGTAATAACTCATTCAACCTAATGAATCTAGTTCTGCAAATAATTAACCAAGAAACACTCTAAATATCCTTCTTCTCTTTCTCTCCTCTTTCCGGATGTCACGACTTGGGTATATAACTCCGGGCGTGGGCATCTTTGGTAGTTCTTGAATATTTGACCAATGGGGTGTTTCCAAATTAACTGTGGCCATGACTTAGTGGTTAATAAGTTAAACCTCTTTGGTGAGATTTCAAGGGTCACCTAAGTTATTAAAATTATTTGAATTATTTTAATAGTTGTAATTTATGTTTACAATTATATTATTATCTCGTGTTTATAATCTCATTATTTTCTCTAAAAAAGAATGGTAGGTTGGTTATGTTTTCTTACTGTGTTGCAAAACTCATGGCATATATTTTGTTGCCCTGGCGTTTCATGCCAGATTATGTCGAAGAAGGGATTGATGCTGAAATTGGAGCGGCTGCTAATATCGAGCCTTGGCTAACTTAAAGTCAAGATTTTATCAAAATAAAATCTTGTTATCTCTTGTAATAGTATTGAACAATGTTGTGACGTTGTGTGTGAACTTGTAGTTTTATTTTGTTGTTGGACTTTGACTATGTAAGAATTTAAAACTTCCTAATTAGTAGTTAAAATTTTATCTAGCAAGTTATTGTTATTTAAATCTTATGACGTTTCAAGAAAATAAAATAAAAAGTTGGGGCGTCACAAATACACCTTCCGAAGAGATTACTGGAACAAATTCGCAGACCCTGGGCCAATACATTAATTGTCAGACTACTGGGCAAGAACATCGGGTACAAGATGCTCTGCACCAGAGTTAAGAACCTCTGGGGCCTACAAGAGGACTTTAATGTTATAGATTTGGGTAATAACTATTTCCTGTTCAAATTCTCCTCTTTGGAGGATTGTGCACATGTATATTCTGGAGGACCGTGGGTCATTATAGATCATTATCTCACTATACGTAAATGAGAGCCTGATTTTAAGGCATTGGAAGCTTTTGAAACCACCACTGCAGTATGGGTGCAGTTTTCGGAGCTTCTGATTGAATATTTTCAAGAGAAAGTCTTATATACGATTGCTAGGCAGATTGGTAAACCCCTGAAAATTGATCTTACCACAGCTATGGCTACTAGGGGCCGTTTTGCAAGGGTGTGCGTTGAAGTCGATCTCCGCAAGCCACTATGTCCTAGATTCCTCCTGGGCAAAAAAAACTATAACATAGAATACGAATCTATCAATTCATTTTGTTTTCACTGTGGCAGGGTAGATCACCGCAAGGAACTGTGCAAATATCAGGCAGCACACCCCAAGTCACAAGCTGTCCACCGGAATATTCTTCTACCGGAAGGGATACAACCAACCGTTGAGGGAAACCCAGAGCAAATTCCAACGGCTAATTCCAGTGCCAACGGTCACCTGCAACAACCAGCAGAAGAAGGCAATGATCCATATGGGCCCTGGATGATGGTGACAAAGAGATCCCGTAGGCCTGTGATCAATAGGAAAACCCAGACTACTAGACCAAGCCCAAATTATAACAAGTTCTCAGAATTGAGCAAAGGGACCCAACAAAAAGAGGAAATGGGTAGGGGCAAGAAAACAACAAGATTGGGCCTTGAAAAAGAGGCACCTAGCCCATACCAGAAAACCCTCTCTGGGCCATCTGTTTCACAAACTGAAATCCTGCCCAAGGCCACACATCCCAGTGGTCATCCAATACCAACCCTCACTCCACCCACTCAGAGCCTCCCCATGGTTACCATCTCTGAAGATAAGGATTCTCTACCCTAGACATCCAATAGTAACCAGACTAGCCACTTTATAACTAACAACACCAGTACAATGGGAACTGATTCTACACCCCCAGAAATCCCGATGGCAAATCAGCCATATGAAACACTTATAACACATACACCCACTCCACCTACTTCTGAACCTTTAACAATATGGAGCGATGGAACCACAACCATAAAGCACAGAAAACCCCCTGATCTAGGATTCAAACATGGCGACGGAGGAGGACACAAATCTGGAGGTGATTACCCACCGAATGGAGAATCATCCATTGGTTCTGTCGTTAGAGCAAGGGAGCGCAACAACTCACCTCGTCGCCACAGTATGGTGGATAGAGCAGATACGGATGTGAATAGAACCAAGCTGGAACTGGAGAACCGAGTCCTCAATCCATTCTGTGCAGTTGGCCTCCATAAGATCAAGGGACCAAGATCATAGACGAATTCAGAGCATTCTCCCTGGTTTGGCCACTAATCCCCTTTCTAAATATCCTACTATGAATTCTCTAAATATTCTTGTTTGGAACTGTCGAGGGGTAGGCAATAGTGCTTTTAAGCGCAATATGCGAGAACTTATCAGCACCCATAAACCGGAGAGACTCATCCTTATGGAAACCAAAGTTCCATTCAGTTCAATGGGGAACTACTTCAACAATATGGGGTTTACTGCTGCAACAATAGTGGACACAATAGGAAGAGCTGGCGGCATTTGGCTACTCTGGGACACTGCCCATGTCAGTATAAGAGCGTCACACGCAACTAACGAAGTTATTCAGGCCACAATCCACAAAGAAGACTATGAAGAATGGATCCTATCTGCAATTTACGCTAGCCCCCACCCCTCCCAAGGAGATGAACTCTGGAACAATCTGGAGGAGACAACTAGGAGTATGGAGAAACCCTGGTTGGTTGCGGTTGATTTTAATGACTACACCAACCACAATGAAAGGAGAAGCTTTTCTCCTCACTACAATCATAACCGAACCCAGAAATTTGCTGAGCGAATCAATAACTGTAATCTCATCGATCTAGGTTGTGTCGGCCCTCGACTCACCTAGACAAACAACCGCCATGGGCTGGCTAATACCATGGAGCGTCTTGATAGAGCTATGAGCAATGACAAATGGAGAGCCTTATTTCCTGAAGGGACAGTGAGGACACTTCCCAGAACTTATTCAGACCACTCCCCACTCATTGTTCTCACACAGGTATGCATCCTTCTACCCCTACTTCTAGGCCTTTTAGATTTGAAGCAGCTTGGCTCTGCCACCCTTCTTTCTCGGATGTTGTTAAAAAGTCTTGGACCAATATGGATTCTAATCTGGTTGAGGCCATTAATGGCTTCACCCATGATGTTAAAAATTGGAACAAAGAAGTCTTTGGGAATGTGTATAAGCGTAAGCGAAACCTATTAGCCCGAATAGAAGGAATTCAGAAATCTCAAACTCATGGGTTTTCCCATAATCTGCACCTCCTTGAAAATAACCTCATTAAGCAGTACAACATGACCTTATTTCAAGAGGAACTCATTTGGTTTCAAAAGTCCAAGGTTAAATGGCTTACCATGGGGGATAGGAATACCAAATTCTTTCATATATCTACCCTCAATAAATGTAGGAAACTTAAAATTAATATGATTAAGGATAATGCTGGTAATTGGCTTTCTAATTCTGAGAATATCAAAAATCACATTATCCAATATTTCAATGATCTGTTTAAACATGAGGTTACTCCTATGTTGGATAACTGGAAAAGTATCACTCATACTGGTTTTACTCAAGATAATAATGTTACTCTTCAAGCTCCCATCACTAACCATGAAATCTGGAATGCCATTAAAAATATTAAAGCCTTTAAAGCTCCTGGTAGAGATGGGTTGCAAGCTGTCTTCTTTCACCAAAACTGGAATATAGTTGGTCCATCCATGTGCAATTTTGTCAAACAGTGTTTTTCCACCCAGACCATCCCTGAAGAGGTCAATGCAAAATAGATTGTGTTAATCCCCAAGCTGGAGAATCCTGAGACTTTAAAACAGTTTAGACCTTTAAGTCTTTGCAATGTTACTTATAAGACCATCACCAAAGTTATTGTCAATCGCTTCCGACCTCTGCTTTCTGATTTAATTAGCCCTAATCAGAGTAGTTTTATCCCTGGTAGAACTACCACTGATAATATCATCATAACCCAAGATATTATTCATACCCTCAGGTCCAAGAAAGGCAAAACTAGAGGTATGGTGCTTAAGATTGACCTTGAAAAAGCTTATGATCATATTTCCTGGGAGTTCATTCATCATACCCTCAAAGAATTTAATCTCAACCCTACTTGGATTACTCTAATCATGAATTGTGTTTCTAATGTTAATTCATCTATTATTTGAAATAGAGAGGCCCTCCCTAACATTAATGTTGGGAGAGGCCTTAGACAATGTGACCCTCTCTCCTTTTATCTGTTTGTACTTTGCATGGAAAATCTATCTAACATAATAAGAATTAAAACTTAGAATGGTGATTGGCATGGTCTTAAAGCCTCTAAACATAGCCCCCCTATCTCCCACGTATTCTTTGTTGACGACCTCATTCTCTTTGCCAAGGCTAATACTAGAAACTGCAATGCCATCATGGAAGCTTGAATGATTTGTGTGAAATTTCTGGGCAGAAAATAAACTTCCAAAAATCCAAGATCTTTATTTCTCCCAATATCCGTAGAAGGGAAGCCCTCCCCCTTAGCTATCATTGTGGTATATCCCTTACCAATGACCTGGGCAAGTATCTTGGCACCCTTTTGCTCCATGGCAGAATCAACAAAAATCATATAAAAAACATCTTTGAAAAAATAACTAATAGGTTATCTGGGTGGAAGGCCAAAAATCTGTCCCTTATAGGTAGACTCACCCTTGTGAATTCTGTTACTTTTGTTATACCTAATCATCTCATGCAAACTATGGAATTACCTAGACATATCTGTGATAAAATTGACAGCTTAAATAGGAATTTCCTTTGGAGTAGCACTCATTCTGTTAAAAAAGTTCACTTGATTAATTGGAACTAAGTTTGCAAAAGTAAAAGAAATAATGGGCTGGGCATTAGGAAAATCAGGGACCAAAATTCTGCTTTTATCTCCAAACTTGCCTGGAAAATTACCAGTAAGGCTGATAATCTCTAGTGTAAAATTCTTCAATCTAAATACCTTAAGCACCATTCCATTGTCAATTGGCCTATCAAGAGAAAAGCTTCACACACCTGGAAAAGGATAATTAAAAACAGAGAGGTTTTGAAAGATAACATCAAATGGAATGTGGGGAATGGTGAGAATATCTCACTTTGGACTGATTGGTGGTGTGGCACAGCACCACTGTGCAGTAATAACCAGGGCCTTCACATTGATTGCACAGCTACTGTTAGCTCTATTTTAGATGATGAAGGCCAATGGAACTTGACCTCAATTCAAAACCTGATTTCCCAAGAAGAAAAAGATAACATTTTACAAATTTACGAGGTTAGGTTTGTGACTTTCATGGATACTCCTACTTGGCAAGACACCACTAATGGCAATTTTACTATTTCAGCAGCCTACAATTCCATTTCCCAAAAGGATAAGAATGGCTTGGATTGGAAATGGGTCTGGAAAATTAAGGCCCCTCAGAGACTAAAAAGCCTCCTCTAGTTAACCATGCATGGAAGATTACTTACCAACCAGATAAGATTCAAAAGGAATCTTATAGATTCAGACACATGTTCCAGATGCTAAACTGCTAGAGAGGACATGAGTCATTTATTAAGAGGCTGTCCCAAATCTAAAATAATTTGGGTCAATTTGAAAAACCTCCCCTGGTGACAGCAAGAAGATAGGATACCTCTACCTAAATGGATCAACTCCAACATGAAAAGTAAGACTAAGATGGATGACATTCAATGGGCAACTATTTCCCTATATGCTATTTGAAATATTTGGAAAGATAAGAGCAAAAAAGTGTTTGACAATCACACTCAACTTGCAACTATTAGCACAACCAAAATTCTTCACCAAGATCAAGAAATTCAGGAAAATTTTTTAAACTCACTTCACCCAAATTATTCAGCACCACGTCCCATTGTCTGGTTTGCTCCTCTTGTAGGGTCATTGAAATTGAATACTGATGGAAGCTCTAAAAGAGATCCAAGCCAATCTGGATATGATGGTCTATTGAGAGAAGAAGTAGACACTTGGCTGTGGAGCCATCATGGCTACCTAGGGAATTGCACGAGCTTAGAAGCTGAACTTTGGGGACTCTACCGAGGACTCACCATCATCATGCAGAAAAGAATGGCAAACACAGAGCTTGAGACAGATTTCCAGCTAGCAATGCAACTTATCAAAGATGGAGCTGACAGCTCTTGCCCATATAGAGCATTGATTGAGGATGCCAACTTCCTCCTGAGAAGATGCAATTGCAATATTTCCTATATTCCAAGTGAAGCCAACTAATGTGCTGATGCTCTTGCCAATATTGGAGTCAGCCAATCTGAGCATTTTGTCTTCTTAGATGTACCACCCAGTGCTCTCCTATATGTCCTAGTTGCAGGCATGGTGGCTTCTAGCTCTAGAAGGGTCTAAGTACCATTTTGCTTATTTGCTTATATTAAACTCTCAATTTTATTATCTTTTTATTTGAATCAAAAGAAAAAAGAAAAGAAGAAGACTTTAATGGTTTGTTACTACCTGACAGTACTTTTGTTTGGCAATTCAATATTTTAGTCTAAAAGTTAAAAGTCATTAAAAAAATTAAAAATCAATAATTTATACCAAAAAATTAAAAATTCTCTTTTCTCTCCACTTTTTGTATATCTTTTCGGAAAAAAAACTAAAAAGTCATTCCAAATAGATTAATTTTTTTTGTCTCATATTTTAGCTAAAAAATTAAAAAAATTACCAAAGTATCCTATTTCCAAAATTAGTAGTTTAACTATCATCACAGCCTATGATTTCATTTCCATCTTCCAAATCAACAACCCTTTGTGTGTGTGTATTTATGTGTGTATATGTATATATATATATATATATATATATTTTTAAGGAAGGGCCTGACTTCCCTTCAGTTCCAGATCAAATCGGAGGATTTTATTGGGCCCATGGGAGCTTACCACAGGTCCCGTTTCGATAATTTAAACCGTTCAATGTATAGATCTCGTCGAGTACTATACGTCTATAAAATATCACCTTGATCGGATATCGATAACTATATCATCGGAGAAACTTTCTGTCAACCGTTTATTTTTTCACCGTCTATTTTTTATACAAAACTGATTTGATATGTAGCTATCAATATCCGATCAACGTGATTTTTTACAAGCATATGGGTTAATGAAACGAGATCCGTAATGTGCCTACACGGGCCTAACAGCACCCTCCGAAGGACTGGAGGGATGGCTTGCCTTTCATTAGATTCGATCGTGTTATTTGGATTTATGAAACCTATTAGGGGTTTTGTTTCGATCATTCGATTTGTTTATTGTGTAGATCATTCCAAAAAAAAAATTTCAAATTGATCTAATATTTGTAATTATATAATTTTATCACATTTGTTTAAAAAAATTGAATGACAAATAATTTTAATGTAAAAATTTTACTCATAGCTGAACTCCTGAACAACCGAACTTATGATAAGATTTGATGAAAATATTAAATTTATCATTAGAGTACATTATATCGGATCAAAATTTTTATTAAATTTTTACTCGAATTTAATAAAATTTTTAATAAAAGATTAAAAATACATTAATATAAACATTTGAGACATTCGAAAATGATTTATGTTCATGAGAACCAAATGTTTTACAGATCCCATTGAAGAAAATAAAATAAAAATCAAACATTAATAAATCTTATATATTCACACAACAAACAGTTCCCTAATCTCATTTTTTTTTTTCTTTTTCTTTTCTTTTAAACCCAAAAACATGTACAAATTTGTGGGAAAGTTTCATGATCACCATTGTCCATCCATCCAAAATCAAGTCTCGCATACGCATTGTCCAATACAGATTGTACAATCAGCAACCACTAACCAACAGATGTTCGCCACGTGGAATCGGCAAATCTTTCCCACCCTCCAATCCACTCCCTATACTTCCACCTTAGGTTCAATCACCGCCGTCTCCACCACCTTCCTCCTCCTCTTCGGCGACCGACTCTCCGCCGTTGCTACCGCCGACCTTTTTGACGTGACCCGAACCGGCTCCGGCTCACCCGAATTAATCCGGAGGGGAAAATTAAGCAGAGCACGTGACCCACGCATGCGGTATGCCGCCCTATCATATGCCACAGCGGCATCCTCCGCCGTCTCGAACGTCCCGAGCCAAACCCTAGCACCGTTCTTCGTCGGATCCCTAATCTCAGCCGCGAACTTCCCCCACGGTCTCTGCCTCACTCCCCTGTAATGCTTCCCCTTCGACGGCACCACCGGCAGCGGCGGCGATCCAAAATTACAGATTTGGGGCTCCAATTTCACGGTTGCGGAGGTGGTGGTGGCTGCCGTGAGGGAGGGAAGCCAGCCGACGGTCGCCGCCTCGTTGAGGAGGCCGTAGACGAGCATGTCCTCGGAATCGTTCTCTTTGAGAGGCAATTCGCCCCAGTTGTCACCCAAACAAGTGAACAAGCTGTTCCATGAATTCGATTCGGAGTCATTGCTGAGCAATTGGCGACTAATCGACTCGAGCAGAGCAAAGTCCGCATCGAAATCATTTTGTGTGCACATCATCATCACAAAATCAATTACAAACAAATTTATATCTATGTATGTGAAGTGTTTTGTTGAACCAAATGTGTAGAGAGAGAGGGGAGAGAACAGATCTTCTGGGGAGAGAAGAGAATGGGAGGTTTATATAGGGGTTGGTGTGAGTAGGAAAGAGGGAAAGAGTTCATGCACTTGGTTAGAGTATTTCAAAGTTTCGACTTTTCATTGCTTTGTTCCCACTTGGGTTATTTTATTTTATTTTTAATATTTTAAAAAAAAAACGGTGTGTGTTGTGGATTTTATTGTGCTTATTTTTCTGCGGCTTGAGATTCTTTGAACGTTCTGCATAGTGGGAAGGGGAGAGTGGAAAGATAAAGATATCGAGATAGAGATAGAATTAGAGAGAGGAGGAAATGATTTTTAGCCACGTGATTAACGTCAGGGCTTTACTGAATGACGTCATTACTCAAGCTATACGTAGCAACAACTAGGGGCATAATACCGTTGAAGTCGCCGAAATCGCTAAAATCGCACTGAATCGCACTGCTAAGGCAAATTCGTTATTATTTGCCAATTGAACTGCCGGTTTTTTATAAGAAAAATGACAAATTCTAGTGACACTTTTATCAAATCGCCGGTTTCTATTTTTCTTCCAAACCGTACCGACCCGCACCGCTATTAAATCATATTTTATAAGATTCTAAAAATTCTTTTTTACTTAACTTTGCTTGTTGTTCTATACCTTAGAATATAGTATTGCATTACTGCTTGAGGGGAATTCAAAATGTCAGTAATCCAAAATAAAGTTGTATTCCAATTCACTTTTCAATCTTTTTTTTTTTTTTCTGGCCATGTTGCAAACTTTCATCAGCTCACTTTTTAATCTAAATACTTTTCAACAGTAAACATTTTTAATATATTGTAAACTCTGAATGATATTAATTTTATGCATTGTATTTGATCATTGTACCTTCCACAGATGCTTGTAATGTACTTATGGCATAGTCGTTGATATTATCATGTTGTTGCTACACTTGCTGCATCAGAAGAAAGTTTCGCAAGATGCTTAACATCACAGTATCTCTCATCTTTTTTTTACTCTTTGATTTAAGTTTTGTAATTTGAATTATATTTTTTATAAACCGCCAATCCGCCCGAACCGCTAAGGCAAATCCGCCATTATTTGTCAACCGAACCGTCGGTTTTTGATAAGAAAAATGACAAATTCTAGTGACACTTTTATCAATCCGCCACCCGCCATACGGTTTCTTTTTTTCTGTCAAACCGCACCGACCCGCATCGCGCACACCCCTAGCAACAACGAGTAAGGATCTTTTAGAGTTTTTTTCCCTTAAAGTTTTTTAGAGTGGTGCATTGTGTGGTTGAGATTTAATGACAAGTCACATCAATTTTTCAACATTAAATCTCAACCACACAATACACCACTTTAGAAAACTTTAGAAAAAAAATACTCTAAAAGATCCTTGGTGTCACGACCCAAACCCGGCCCTATGGGTTTAGTACCGTAACCGGCCAGTAATCCGAGATTACCGAAGGCCTGTAGAACAGTAATACAGTAAAACAGAGTACAGGGCCTGGCGGAAGCCAATACAGTAAAGAAACAATGCCCAATGAGCTGTGACAGTCTGTATGCCAAAAGATTTTTCATACATTCATACGTAAACAGTACAGAACAGTATGCACAATATTTACATTCATTCAAACTAGGGACTCAACCCTACACAACAGTACAGAAAACATTCAGTCTATACAGAACAGTAAGACAGTACAGAAGGGGAATTCCTGAAACACCCCTAAGCCTTAGCAGATAGGCTCGGAACCTCGTAGTGAGGCACATAGGCTGGCTTGACAAAACTGGAGTCTAACCCACGCTCCTAGCTCCGGTCTGGTGGCTGAGCACCTACATATATATATGAACAGTGAGCTAAAGCCCAGTGAATAACATAATGCGTAAAGGGGTTATGAATGAAATGTCCTTACAGTAATGAAAACAGTCCATTAAATCAGTATTTCAGTCAGAACAGTTATTCAATCATATGTGGTACATCCATTAGCATAGCAGTAAACAGTAGGTCTTAAAGACCGAACAGTATTGATGGCCATCAATCAGTAAACAGTAGTGGTTCCACGAGGGAACCGACAGAGATCTCTGTAACAGTAACAGTAACAGTAACAGTAGTTGCTAAGGATGCCACAATACAGTTCAGAAGATAGGACATACATTCATTCAGTAAACAATATCAGTTCAGGAAACAGTTCAGTTCAGTTCAGTATTCAGAAGATAATCATTTGAACATATCTTTACACAAGTGTTACTCACAGAGTTCGGGCTACAGTAAGCTAGAGTGGTTGTTCCACGGAATGGTTTCCTTTTTGGCTAAGGTAAGGTGGACATCATCTGGAATGCCATAATCCCTTCGGAATTCGGCCATGCCACCTGGGGTATCTACCAGATACCTATACTTACCCATTTGTGGTATAAATTATTAATAAGTTATCTCGGTCGGAAGATTGGACTCAAGTAGCTCGGTTGAGCACAAGAAGGAATGCCTGGGCAACCTAAGTCTGCAAAGTAGAAAACAAAGGGGTTAAGCACAGATCATCGGACCGTGCTACAATTTAAAAACAAGGTAAAAATGCCCTATTTCGGCTTTAAGGGCAGGTGATATCTCGGTTCGGCAAAAGGTTTGTTAAGCTCGGTTTGAGCAGGATGCTTGTTAGACCGGTTCGC